AATTTAGCTTTTTATATACTTACTTAATTGTTAAATATTTCAGAAAGATGATAGGAAATTTCAGTATTTATGGGATAACCAGAGAGGATTAAATTCAAGGTCAAGGGAAGGCTGCTTGTAATCCTAACAGAGGTGTTAAAAAGAGGCACTTAAAAAAAAAACAACCAACCAACCAACCAAACCTACAAAAAAAATCCCATGTGCTTTTCTGTATAACCTGATTAACGAACAAGAATAAGGGGATAAGGAAGGTGTGGATAATGGTTCTGCCTAGTGGAAGACTCAAAGACTGACTTTGAAAGAATATGTGTGTCTCCATTGCCTCTTTTGAGAGTGAGTCCTTTGTAGATTGTGAAAGCTTTCATAGTATGATTCTCCTCCTCATTTCAGAACTTTACATTATAAATGTAAATATTTACTGAATTATACAATATTAAAATAGGTTGAAATGAATACTACAGTTCTTCAGAGTAATGGTCTCAGGATGTCTAGGTATTCAGCTTTAATACAGTAACTCTTGAGTATGATCTGTGTAATCAAGAGACCATTCTTCATTTTTCTTCAGTTTTCAAAAATCCGTATGGACCTAGCATAATGCAGATTCTGGCTACATCTTGAAAGGCCCTGTACAAGTGAACCTCTAGCAAGTAACTTTGGAAAGGTGTTGCTTCTTACGAATCAGGAAGTATTGATAGTGTCTAGGGTTATCTCCAGGTGAAAGATTTGGATACAGCCTCGTAGAAGTCAGCCTCATATTTTGAAGGAAAGAGATTAGTGAGTTGGTGGTGGATAGAACTGAGTCAAAGAACACTTAGGGTACAAAATAAATGCAGTGCTGTTTGTATCTTTTAAAGCTGTTTAATAAGCTTGGAAAGTTTCAGTTGGAGGAGGTTTGTGTTGGCACAATTTTTATAGAATGCTGTACTGTTGACATTTTTTCTCAAGTCTGCTCTAGAAAGTGTGCTTTGCTTCCACTTTGTTATAAATATGCCAATTTTGAAACATTACTAAAAGTAGGTTTAATATTCAGTCTTTGGTTTCCAATAAAGGGTGCATAATAGCAGTGTAATTTTTGCAAACTTTTTTGCTTAAAGTTATAGATAAACCTTGCCCTTAACTACTCAGTAGATTTGCTAGAAAAGCTTGTGATTGAGTGCTATGTATGCTTGCCTTTTTGCTTCCACCTAGAATCCAGGGCCATTACTTTCTGTAACCATTTCAGTGAGCTGCCATAGTTTTCAGTCTGTACTGTCACCTGATCCAAGCATGCGCCAAAATACCCACCGTTTCTGGCTACTGTCTGCTGAATCTGCTTTGCAAACCCTTAGTTCTTAAGCTTTTGCTGTAGCGAAAAACAACAACAGACACTCTTACGGAGTGTACTGGACACATGCCATCCTGCTTCCCTAACTCCTCTAATTGTTTATGTAAATCCTTAGCTTTACTAAACTTGTAAATGCTACAATGGCATCCCCATGTGAAATTGTGTGGCTCATGTGTCAAAAAAGGCTGCTTGTGAAAATATTTGTCAGAAGAATATGAATGCTACACATTGCACTGCATTCAGTGTTTTGTATCAATATATTACTGCAATGTCATGGTGTTTGATTTTAATTGTAGACAATCATTTTGTGTTTTAATATGCAAAGGTAAGTTCATGTAAACTGTGAATGTACAGTATTTATATATAAACATACTGATTTATATTTTTGGCCTCTTTCTGGAAGAAAAAAGTACTCAATTATATGTCTTAAGCAGAGGACCCAGTCTTTTTTACAAACACTTGTTTATGCATGACTTGTACAGAAATTTTTGAACTTGTGCAGTAAGAATTTGTTGGATTTTTTGAAAGAGATTGGGTCTGATCTTGGTAATACTGAAGACAATGGCTGGAAAATTGTACTTATCTCTGATAAGAATGAAAGTGATCCATTATATTACTGTAAATAATAGCTTTTAAATTCTGATGTTGAACAGATTCTCAGAGGGAAGGGTTAAATGTTGCTTTAGCAAGACGTAGTGTTGAACAACCTCACAAGAAGAAGTGCTTTCCATTATGATAAGGCATTCTTGTAGATGAAATTAGGTGAAAAAATGGTGTTGACTCTCTTAAGAACTTGTTCCTGAACTTTAAATTAAACTTTTAATTTTTGTGGAAGAGTTAAATGTTTGCATAGAGTTTGGGACCCGTCACTATTTCTACCTTTTCTGTTCCCCTTAAGCATATCTGTTCCCTTTCAACATTCCATTCTGTTTCAATTTTTACTGTGGCTACATAACTTTTCAGTGTCATATTCTTGTTTGTAATCTTATTTTTTATTTCACAGCACTTTTCCTGTTCATTCGCAGTCCCTTCACCTGTTGCTCACTTTCAACTCCTTTGTTATGACTTCACATTTTCTTGCACTTTTTGTCATAGAAAGGTCATTGGTGACAAGTAGGAGCAGTTTTTGCCCAATGGTACCTAAAGGTGTGAAGAGAAAAATGATGATTTAGTAAAATTGGCTTTTTAATTTTTGTTTATGTGTAGAAAAAGGTTGCTTCTCCTTTGCAGGTGTTTTTCTGTGAACTATGAAAATTTGTGTGGCTGTTCTGTCAATGTTTATAGGCAGCTGCCTGTGATCAAGTCTGAATGAGCAAGAATTGTCCTGCACAGTCAGTGAACCACTTTTCCTACTTCTTACACTTTTCTGTTCTAGAGAGAAACACACGTTGATAAGCTATCTTCTTGTCTGTGATTGGATGAGGAAGGAGGAATTACTCCCAAGATCCATGTCCATTCCACCATAAAGCGTTAGTGATAACGTTTACAGAAGGTGCTTGTGGTCTCACATCTCTCATAGAGCTCTCCATTTCCTCAGATGTTGTAGCCTTTGCCTAAAAATGTACTTCCAGAGTTGCTCTGTTCACCTACTACTACTGCCATTAGCTGGTGTCAGCAATCACAGCCTCTGTTCAGACAGAGGTGCGCACACAAAAGGGAAGACAGCTCACCTCCCACTTTCCTTTAGGTGTACTGCAAATGGTTCTTATAGCTGAGCTTGGGAACTCCAGCCCTGTGATGTGATGGGTTATTTCTGCACGATTCTCATCTTTTGAGAGCTAGCAGGTACTCCAACCATGAGTCAGGATTACAGTGTATCCTCTCAAGCATTTGATTTTCCCAGTTAGTGAAAGTGTTTAAACAGCATTTTCAGGCTGAGAGACAGCAAAGTGCAGTGCTCCAAGATTCTACTAGTAATGCATTGAAACCTGCTGAGGGTGTGAACTCGTATATAATGGAACACGATTGATACAGTTCATGAAAATCCTGAGTCTGTTTTGTGTCTTAATGTATATATTTTTGTCTTGATTGCGGAGAACTGTCCTAAAAACTACCACTGTAGGTTTTTTTTTTTTCCTGTTCACTGTTCATTTCTTAAAGCAAAGGTTGGATAAACTTCAGTCTGGACACCGAAGGCTGCTGTTAGTCAGTACAATGCTATGAGTTACACAAGCATTAACACAGGTATAGCTGAATATACATACCTCTATACTCTTACACTCTTTTTTTTTTTTTAATTAGAAAATGATGATTAGTTTATTTTAGGAAGGTGAAAGCCTAGTTCTAAATGAAAAGTTGAGGTAAATTCATGAATGAATACATCTTGCTGTACAATATTTTTGTTTCAGTAATTTTCAAAGTAAGTGTATATCTACATCTTTCATTTTTGTTTGTCATGTTGTCAGAGAATTAGTGTATGATACAGGGTTATCATACATTATATTTATAAATATTCTTGATAGTACAAAATTGGTTCCCAATGAATCTCAAGTTTTGACATTGATATTTTAAATTATGATACACCAAGGAGGTCTCAATGGCTAGATGATTGTATCTCTGCAAAGTTAGTTGATTTCAGGGAAATTGTCTAAGAACCTTATCTACTCAGAACCCTTTGCAGCATCTGAGTGCCTATTGTTTGGTATTGTTTTCCCCCTTATTTTATGTATCAACAATTAACATAGTTTTCAACTAAGTTCACTGGTACAGGTAAGCCATTATGAAAAAAGAAATAGTTGACAAACTCTAATTGTAAATGACTACTCACTGACTTCATATGTAAAAAGCTTGTGAGATGAGCTTTAGTTCTGACAAACTAGTTGCTAAACAGTTAGAATAAATGGATCGCATAAACTTACTGTAGTAGCACTCTTTTTGTATTTTCAGTGTAGTAATCAAGAGAAGCAGGTAGGATACATTTTAACATATAACCTCAAAGACAATAAAGGTAAAGAGCATCCACTTGGAGATGAGGGGGGAAAGGAGTGGTTGCCAGGATGCTGAAGCAAAAAAGCATTGACAAATACATAGTCAACATACATTTTGTACTTATTAATGTTATTAATGTAGAAGTAGTTTCAAATACCTATGGCTTCTCAAGGTTAGAAGTGCTGAAATTAGGACCATAGAGCAGTGTGTTTGATCAGTGATACAGCCTTGAACTAATATTTTTTTAAATCTGGTAAATGGAGAGAACTGCTTGCAGTAGGAAAAACTACTGAGGTTATTTCAAAGATGTCAAATGTATACCAAAGTAAATATTTTACTTTATTACTACAAGTACAGTTTCATTACTACTACTAGTTTTTCAATATTATAGAGTATCTGTGATGCTTTGCTGCAAGTTATGTGCTGCTCTCATGTTGTTGGAAACTGACAGTATGGTCTTCAAGTGGATAGAGATTGGAAGAGTATCTACAGTATTCTGGTGTTATCTGTCATGGACAACAACAGGAATGCAGTAATTTGTCAGAACCTGTTCACATGGGTGATAAACAAGAAAATCGGTGAAAAAGCCCCGTTAGTGTTTGCTTGAACTGCAATAGTTAGGAAATAAAAAGTGTCCAGATACAACAAAACACTTGAATATGAAAAATTCAACTTTTCATATTAATTGCATGTAGCTTTATGTTGACATAGTGCAGAATAGTGAACTGATTTATACTTTGTCTTTCAGATGAACCAGAGACACGAGATGCATGGTGGGCAGAAATCAGACAAGAAATAAAATCCCATGCCAAGGCATTGGGTTGTCATGCTGTAGTGGGCTACAGTGAATCAACTAGCATTTGGTAAATCATGATGATGATTTGATTTTCAAAATGCCACAGAAAATTTATTTCATCTTCAGTGGATTAAAAATGATGAAGTATTTCAACACAGTTGTTGGTACTAGGTCTAGTATACCTACTTCAGAGAGTGTGTTAAAGTAACTTTCTGGGATTTTTTTTTTATATATATGTTTTGATTTGGGTTTTTATTGGGTTTTCATTTTTTTTCTAATGAACGGTACAATTTTATTTTTTAAAAAAATTTCACACCTACAGATCTGCTTTTGTAGTTTCTAAACCTAATCTACCTAAATAGTTAAGACTGTTCCTAAAAGTATATGTATTGCAGTTTCATTACTGGGTAACAACTGGCAGACCAGTACTTAAATGGTAAACTTCAAATTTAAGGCACAAGTACTCTACCAGGAGAGTATTGATTGTAAATTAAAGGAGAAGGTGTTCTACTACGAGTGTATTGATTGTAAATTAAAGGACAATATGCTGCCTGATACATCTAGAATACTTTAATTGTAAACATTCTGTATTTCTTTCTGGAAAATGCATGTTGCCACTTTTATCTTTCAGTACTGCAGTAGTGTTTAACATATTAAACTGCAGCTCTGCAGTAGTCTTTCTGAGTTTGAATTCGCCAGCCCTGCATCCTATTCAGGCTAAAACTCACGTTATTCCCTTTGGCTAAGAAAATTCCAATCTTGTGTATTTTGGATACTGATTATTATAATATAATATAAATATAATATAATATAAATACCAATTGTGTATTTGTAAAACAAACTTGGTGAAAGTCTTGGAGATTAGGAGAAACAATTTGGGATTCATCTAATTACTCATCCTTCTCTCTGGCCCAGGAAAGGTTGTATCTCTTTCTAGCTCTGGAAAGTGTATTTATGAAGAGCTCTTTCTGGGGCCAACTGTGTCTGACCGGAATCAAACAGAAAAGTACTCTGGCTCACTAGTTGTTTTGAATTGCTTTAGGAAAGTAACTGAAACAAACTTACTTCTGAACTTACTTTACGTCAAGTTGATTTTGCCTAACTACTTTAAAGAAAAAGCACTAAAGATTTGATTATTTAAAGAGAGAAGTTGGAAAAAGAAGTTAGTTTTACTTTGCAATTGTTAAGTTGAAGAAAGAAATACAGAGTTACACAGTGCTTTCATGAGTGCACACCATCTGTTGGTAAAGTAGTAAGATAACCAAAAATGATCAGTCTGAAAGCCGCAGCATTGATTGCTTTGTATCTGTTGATCCTTCACATTTATTTCTTCACTGCAGGAAAAAAAAAAAAAAAGAAAGAAAAAGAAAAAAAAAACACCAAAACCCCAACATGAAATATTCTATTGTAAAATTATTTAAAAATAAATAAGAAAAATTATATTGATCTTTCACAAAACTTTAAAACAATTTTTGGAAGTCAAATACTTGTGCTAGTAGAGTAGGAAAACAGAACTCACTTTACAGACAAGGCATGGTTTGTATCCCTTATGCTGTCTTGCCTGGTCATGTCCTTCTTGCTTGGTGTATTAAAGACCATATTTACCTCAGACTTGCAACGTGCAAGTTTCCATTGCTGAAGGGTGAACTTGCACTAAAAATGGAAGATGTATTCCTTTGGCTGTCAATCTCCTTGTAAAAAGCATTAATATTTTGTATTTTTCTTCCTACCTTAATTATGGGGAAAGAATGTACAGAGTGTAGTCGGTTATTGGGTTATTTCATACTTTCATTTTTCTTAAGGAATTTAATGTGGTAGTATTTAATCGTTGATATATTAGAGTTCCCATGCTTACTTGCCAGTTCAGCCTGTTTAAAGAGCAAGGCTCTGTCTGTAAGTGCTGGTCTGCCAGACATGTTATATATGAAAAATTATTCTGAAAAGAGAAACAACAAACAAATCCCTGTGTATCATGCTAGATGATGTAGGAAAGTTTTTGTCTGTATTGTTTCCAGTATAGTATTTTAAGTACTGAATGTTAGAGATTTGGTTTTTATTTAACAATTTCAGAAATACTAAAAGCTCTGTGATCATAGTTTGTATTTCTGAGAGCTTTAACTCTGCTAAATCATTAATATGGTCAGCTACTTTACCTGCTAGTTATACAATTACGGTAGTTGTTCATAGTCAAATTTTACTGTTTTGCTACTTTTTATCCTCCAAGAAGCACCCTTGTCAGTGTTGTGTTGTAACTTCATTTTGAGAGTGAATGTTTATAAGGTGGTGAGGCTTTCAACTTCCATTTTACTTTGGTAAAAATTGCACCTTATTTTTTGAAAATGTTTATTTGCTTTTGTTAGTTGGCTGGATTTCTTTGCATTATTGACCGTAGTATTGAAAACCATACTTAACGCTGGTTAGTCTTTGTGATCTTATAGCATATTATTTATAATATAGAGCAAAGCTCTTCAGTCTTTCTGTTCAATCCTTCTGCATCTCTCACTTATACAGTGATTTAAATACCAGAAGAGGATTTTTTGTGAGATTTAATGGATAAAATTGCACAAAAGCAGCAAATTAGTAATTACATTTAATTCACTGAGACTTCTGTACCAGCCTTCTAATCTAATAGTTTTAAATAAAAGTAGCACTAAGTAGTAGGAATTCACTTTGTTGTAATTCTTTTCTCTTATAGTGAAGAGGTCTGTATTTTGTCCGCGTCTGGCACAGCAGCTGTACTGAACCCTAGGTTTCTTCAGGATGGCACCATGGAAGGCTGTTTGGAACAAAGGTTGTCATGGCAGCCTGGCTTCTTTTCCATAGGGTCAGAGAAGGGAGAGGTTGATTTTTTTCCTCAGAGCCAAGATAGTTCTTCTCTATTAGGGTAGGTTACAGTGTTACAGTGCAGGATGCGGGACCAACCACTTTACTGCTTTTCACTAACATCAACAACAACAGAAGTAATGGAACTCTGCACCAAATTAGATATTCTGTTTTTATTTCTAACAGTCTGAATAAGGTAACACATTTGACTACTAACCACAGATCATAACTCAGTTTTTTTCTTTGCTGCTCTTCAGGTATCTTTCCTCAACTTTATATCATGCTATAAAAAATGGCAGATGTATGATAAATTAAGTAAGCCAAAAACTACTGTGGCTGTAATATGTGTATATATGCTCTATATATACTATTTAAGGGCTGTATGGCAGATAAAATAGCTTGGCTATAAAACAAAGATGGTGCCATATTTTTACAAAAAATGTATGTTTTATTTCAAGTTTATGAACGAAATCATGAAACTGAAGGAAAAACATGAAGTTTCCTTTTGTTTCTCCTCTTGCAAATAAAATTTGAAGAATTAATATTGACAAACAGTTATTTTGGGGAAAAAAAGATTAAGTAATGCATACTGGTAATTTATTATGTGTTTGTCAGATTAGTAATCACATATTTCAAGGGATTATTGTAGTTGTAAGTGTATTTATTACACTTTAGCACGTGCATTACTTTTTCCATAACAACACTGTCAATGTAGTATTATTTACTAGTCTTTTACTTCGTCAACAAGAGGCCATTGTCCTCTTGTGTAGACAGACTTTTGAAAACCGTAGCCAGAACAAAAAGTGCTTGTTTCCATATTCTCTGTATGATGGTTCATAATAAGAAGAAACTTGCACTTTTATCAAAGTATATATTTCGCTGCTAATAAGAGTTTTGGCATAGATTAGAAATGCCAGAGGAAGATAAAACAGCTAAATGGACAATGCCCACATTTGAGACAAAATATATTTGCTTAAGTCTATGATAAGTAATGTTCCAGATCTGTCTGATTTACTTAAGCATCTCTTCAAAATTCACTGAGAAAAATTGTTTATGTGAAACAGAATAAATTTGCAGTGGTGCAGTTAACCTGTGCTTTCCTTGTTCGTATTTTTATAGTGGTCATTCCTGGGTATTTCATATGGGGGAATGGGACTAAGTATTCTAAGTGAATACCAAGTTTTACCTCATATCTTATTTTAGGAAATAATCTTGCAATTCTTCTTAAAATGTTCATATATATATATTGTGCTGCTGATCAATAGAATGGTTGGTTTGTTGTTTATGTTTTGCTCATTAGTTTTGTGTAGGTTTTTAAACACATTGTAAAAGAGACTTTTAATTGGGTTTGGTACAGCAAATTCTCTGTACAACTGTTGTACCACGTACTATGTTTAGAATTCCCAGTGCCTAAAGCCGGCTCAGTAATGTTTTAGGCTTATATAAATTGTTGGTCATTGTATGTACTTTGTCTTGATCCCTGCGTAACAAGTTTCAATGTGAGTTTTATTTATAGCATTGTAATTAGTAGTCTGCAGCTGAATTTTATTTTAATTCCTAAAATGCAGTACTTGTCACATCAGTATAATGGAGCAGAGTGTAGCTGCAGTGTATGATTTAAGTAGGTATCTTTAGGTGTTTATACACATGTGCATGTATTAATCATTGTTAATAAGAAGCAGATGTTTTAAGTATGTTCTCCATAATGTATTTTTAGGATTGAAGAAACTTCACCACCAGGTTGTGGATTTTGCCATATACCATATGATGAATTGAACATGCCGTTCCCTGCTCACCTCACTTATTGTTACAACTGCAGGAAGCAAAAAGTTCCTGATGTTCTTTTCACCACAATTGATCTTCCTGTAGAGGCAATAGTTATTGGGAAGGGATGTCTTATTCAAGCCAGGTATCTATCAAAATATTTTCCTAGTAAAGTTTTGGAGATCTTTGAAAGAATTTCTGTTGCTAAAATCCAGTATCTCATCAAACCTTAAATTTTTTTTGAATTGTTAGGAGTTAATGACAATGTATTAGGATACAGGAGAAGGACAGCCTTCACCTCCCCCTGTGTTATGTGTCATGTCTGTTGATGGACATCTGGTGACTTACCCATGTTGATTTAGTAAATGTTCTGAGCTTTTTTTTTAATGCCTGTGGGAATTGCTGAATTTTGTCTGCCTGGATGTAAGCGTTTTCATGCTTTAACTTGCTGTTTGGGACTGCTTATGTGGTCAGATACAGCTATTACATTGGAAGCTCAATGAACTGTTTAAGTCAGTTGTGTTAATTCTGTGCTGATGTCCATAACTGAACATCATCTCTGTAGGATTGTTGGCTATGTCCAGTTTATGCTGTGGTCTTTGAATCTGGGAAAGAGAATAAGGTAGTTTACAGTGGGAAAGAGGGAAGGGTTAGCTATGTACAGTATGTATTGGTGGCCAACTACATGGGTAAATAACTGGTTGGATGATTGGACTGAGAGGGTAGTCATCTGTGGTTTGTAACCTACTTGGATGGCCATGACAAGAGTCTGCAGTGGGACGTGTCTTTTGAACATCTGAATGATGTGGAGGGGATGATGGAATGCATTGTCTTCAAGTTTGCCAGTTATACCACAATGAGTGGGACCAGACAATACAATACCTGTCCAGTTTTGTCCTCATCTGAGAGTAAGAGACAGCAGAAAACTAGGGCGAGTTCAGTGGAGGGACACCAAAGGAGTAAGGAGCACCTGCCATACAAAGTGAAGCTGTGGGTGCTGGACTTGTTCAGTCTGAAGACAGGGAGGATTCAGGGGGACCTAATAGCATCCTGCCAGTACCTGTAAGGAGGTTATGGAGCATATGTAGCCAGGGTCTGCACAGTGGGAGAGTGAGAGACAGTGGGCCTAAGTTGAGCAAGACAGATTCAGAGTGGATATAGGGAAAACCTTCTTACCCATGAGAGCATTCAGGCAGTGGAGAGGATTGCCTAGGAGGTTGTGCAGTCTCCGTCTTTGGGGAGTTTTCAGGACGTGACTGGATAAAGCTGAGCATCCTCTGCTTTGTCTGTAAAGGAGGTTGGACTGGAGACTCCTGAAGTCCCTTCTCTCTGAGTTTTTTTTAATGATCCTGTGATTATCATTCTCTGCCTTCTGCTAGAGCAGAATTACTGTAGCTACTGCAGAGATGTGTTCTATGCTCCTCCATTGGCATTGTCCATATTATTAAACTGTGTGTTCAGCATGATTGTAAAAATTGACTGTGTCATGTGGTGGCCCCCGATCTGGCTCTGAGCACTTGCAGATGTCCCATTTCCTCTAGAATGATTCCTCAAGCATTCACATACCGCCCCCAAAATCAAGAAAGACCTGAAACAATAGTTAGAAAGATTTTGAGGTGAATTTATTACAACTGGGTGAGTTACTATGTTTTCCTGATCATATAATAAATGTAGACCTTAGAAGAAGATGTTGTCTGTTCATATCACTAAAATGTACAGTTGTCATGTGCTCTTCTTGAACGAAAATTTTTCACTGAAAGTAGACAGTCATTACAATGGTGTGGGATTTGAATTTCAGTTTATGAGACTAAACCCGAAGAGTGGAATATGAGTAACATAATGTAGTCAGAGATGGCGTTTCTATGCTCTTTTATTCTTTTAAGATAAGTATTTTTAGCCTGGTTAATGCTTGAGCTGAGGACAGTCATTTTGTTCTGAAGTGTGCCTTGAATAACTGTGTTAATAGGGATTTTAAAAGTTCTGCCTGTAGATGTCATTTCCTGTGCTTGTATTTCAAGTGTTTAAGAGGTTTGCGGCAACAGAAATAGATGTTTGCATTTAGGGTCTTACTAAGAAAAAAATCTGAAGATACGAGTTTTCAGATAAGACAACCTCAAGGAGATCTTGTAAAGAACTGACATTTTGTTATACAGTTGCAGCAACTTAGAAGAATACAACTCATCAGTTCTGAGGCTCAATTGAAAAGGGCTGCAGTAATTGTCCCTTGAAATAATCGATTTTTGTGGAGGGATGTTTAACAAATACCAGACAACTTGCAAAAAAGTTGTGTTTATCTTCAGTATTTGCTTTGACAAAAGTGTGCAGGGCAAATTTTTAACAGTTGCTGCTATATGATAGGAATGTTAGTATATTTAGGCATATATTGAGTAGATGGTTATCTGGAATCAGTAGAAAACTTATTTACATTGCATACTTATTTGGTGCTGATTACAACAGTAACCCTGTGTGATGCATGTTGTTTCTGTCTGATAACAGTCCTTAAGCATGTGTTAAGAAAGGAGATGTGACTTCATCTAGTGATTTACAAAAGCACAGTATTGGTAATTTTTGTATTGTGCTTTGATAGGGAATAGTTTTGAATGTTGCTGAAGGTTATGTATTGTTCTGTTTCATAAGTTTACTTTTTATGTTGCCCAATTTTATTACTAATATAAATATACAGTTTCCTATTAAAAATGAAATCTTACTGAGACTCAGTGCCTCAGTCTGCCTTGATCTTGCTGACTAGAATTTAATATTTTACAGGATTTTAAAATATATTAAAAAGAAACTGATTGTATTAGGCTGTACAATCAGGGAAAAAAATCAAAATACCATGTGATCACTTTCAGTCTTTAGCAGTCCATTAAAACTGTTTATCTGATGCTGATGTCATGTTTGTTTCGTATCGTTAGGTTATGCCGTCTGAAGAAGAAAGCTCAAGCTGAAGCAAATGCGACATCTATTAGTAATCTCTTGCCATTTATGGAATATGAAGTGCACACTCAGCTGATGAATAAACTTAAGCTGAGAGGAATGAATGCTCTGTTTGGGCTGAGAATTCAGATCACTGTGGGTGAAAATATGCTAATGGGGTTGGCAGTAAGTACAGCTTTAATCCGGAGATTCTTTTGCTTTCTTACAGTATTTCTTCAGGACACAAAGACCTACAAATGTTGTGAAATTCAGATTAACTAGAGATATTAAAATGTCATTTTAAGAATAAATGAAGTGTTGGAAAAGAATGCAGCGTTTAATTGTTGACAAATCAGAACAGACTGTCAGCACCAGAAAAAGAAGATTCAAATCTCTTAAGAACTCTCTTACAGGACAAGATTATTATGAAGGTGATGAGAGGAAAAGAAACTTAAAATGGTTTAGTGGCATAAATTATATAAAAATTACTGTGTTCTTTAAAGGTCCTGTCAGAGATCCCTGTTCCTCAAGTTGTCTTACAATTCCATGACAAATAAGGTCAATTAAGCCTCAATAAATCTTTTGGTTAGTTGCCAACACGAGAAAGGTCTTTCACCTCTGGCGCTGAAGAAATTAATGATAGATTGAAGTGTCTTAGAGATAGTCAAGAAATGTTCATTAACAGTGTTATCTAACCTCAGTTTGTCATGTGCAGTTAGAATAGAGAAATATGCTGCTGCTTCCTCATCAGTGTAAGAGTATGCTTGGGTAATACTGACTGCCTTGCATGTTCTTTTGTCTGAACTGATGATCTGTTTTCTGTAAATTGAAATGGGATTGTTGCGACTTTGGTGATGCTGTAAATGGCTTGGCCAAGTTTTAAATCCTTGAAACCATTACTTGCCTTTGCAAAATATACCAAGGCAGATGTTTGAATTCATACTTTGTTTGGAACTTTTGGATAAGTTAAGGGCTCCACCATGGAAAAGACCCACGAGAAGGGAGGAGTTTGTTAAAAGAATAGTGGGGGGTTTTCATAAGGAAACAGGAGAGAGAGATCCATTTATTAGGGGAAGAGATCATGCTGTAATGTGCATGTCACGTGCTGTCTGTTATAGCATAAGCATTATGGAAAACGTTATATGAAAATATTAGAAGTACATGCTTACATAATTGTAATTTTTCTTAATGACTTATTTTAAAAGTCTGCAACAGGTGTGTATCTAGCAGCTTTGCCAACACCTGGTGGTATTCAGATTGCCGGGAAGACTCCAAATGATGGCACCTATGAGCAGCATATATCTCACATGCAGAAGAAAATAAATGATACGATAGCAAAAAACAAGGAACTTTATGAGATTAATCCTCCAGTAAGTAAAGCTTTTATATTCTTAAAGCATTCTGAGTCAAACATACATACACCGTGTATATCCATGAATTCATGCTGACTGAATCATTCAGAACATAAGTTGGTTTTAAGTAGAGATACAGGTTCTTTTCACTATATTTCGGGAACCTGCTGGAATTTTCAGATCTCTTAAACCACATATCCAAATCAGTTTGTATTTATTTAGATTTATTTCTCAATAATTTTTTTTCAAAATGTTATGATTCTTAGAACTGTTAACAAATTGCTTATAACTGAAATTATTTCTAAGCTACATAGAACTGACAATTTTTTATATCCTTATTAGGAGCTACCTGAAGAAATCATCGGGTCTCCCATTCCAGAGCCAAGACAACGTTCCAGGTTATTAAGATCTCAATCAGAAAGCTCTGATGAAGTTACAGAGCTAGACCTTTCACATGGGAAAAAGGATGCTTTTGTCTTGGAGGTGATAAATGTTTTCAATATTCATTTTCATACTTCTCTTAAAATTCTTAAAAAGGGAGAAGTGTTTTCTTACTCATCTCCAAAGACACTTTTTAAATTGTATATAAAATTTTCTATTTTGTATCAGTAGAAAATGTTTTAAGTATTGGATTTTGCATTGGCTGTCTCTTTCTTACTCTGTTTGCTTAAAGCATAGCTATATTATGCCTAGGGACAATATTTGTAAGAAGATTGCCCTGCTATACATGAGCATGTAGCAATATCTAGAATAATAACTAAGAGTTGTTAAGGAATGCTCTTCTGCCTACTTCAAGCATCAGTCATGACTGATCCAATACTTAGATATATTTTTAGAAACATCGAGGTTCAGTGTTGTTACGCTTTGTTTAGGAAAGAGAAAACTTGTTTATTTTTTCTGTTTGAAAGCTCTTATTTTTATAGTTAGATATTCAGAATTACTAGTTTCCAGAACTGGTAGTATTCAAAGCATTCAAAAAAATGAATGTGTCACGAGAGCACATGAAATAAGAATTGCTTTTCTGAATTTCAGCTGATGCTTTTCAGAGTTTAAGAATTTACACATTCAGAGAATGGCTTCCAATTCTTTCTACAGCTACAACTAGAAACAGGAACACTTACAGATAAAGAACATAGATTTCTTTTACCTCTTTATTCACTAAAATCCGAAGATGTAAGTTTAACATTGTACAATTTTGAAGAAAAGAAGCCAAGTACTGAAGAAGGCTATAGTTTTGATCATCTTCTTGTAGATACAGGCATTACAAATACATGTCCTAGGCTAAGAAAAACAAAACAATTTAATTAAATTACAGCCTGTAATTGCAACCCTAAGGTATTTTCAAGGCTTTCCTTTATGTTTATCTTCACAAATCACTATCTTCATAGAAAATAATCTGTGAGAAAGGTTATAGATAGGCAGAATGAGAGAGCGCTGTAACAGCAGTTCATTCAAAAACAGAGGTAAGAAAGGAGAGTGAAAAAATAACGTGCTGGGAGAGGTTGGTATAATAAATTGAGATTGGTTGGTGCTTCTGTTCTCTGAGTAAATTTTTGTTCTCCAGTCCATTACAGGTATGCAAGAATTAAAGTAAATTGGGAAGTCCCTAAATTTAACTTGGATAATTAACTCTCACATTAAAAAGAAATTAGGACAGTTTTCATCAAGTATTTTTTGCAGCTGGTCTTAAGAGGTTTTTTTTTTAAATATCATCATCTGTGTAGACTGACAGGAGTGGAATTGTATCCTCCAAAGTTATGATAGATGCTCTCTGAGGTACTGTATTGAAATGGATGAGGCAATCAGAAAATACTTTGATAAATGCAAGAAGGGTCAAATGGATTTGTTTAAAAATAGAGGATTGTGTAAGGCATTAAAAGAAACCACAGCCCAATGACTGTTATACTGCAAGAGACCTTTTGGACAAGTTATGAAAAATACCCAAAAAATCATAAGCCCAGTCTCCATTTCACTTTTTATTAACAGTAGTATAGGCACTTGGGATAGGAGGAGATCTCCATGTGGAAGGGAAGAATGTAAGTACACTGTAGTGTACTATAGAGTACATTATACATGTTGCTAAAGTTAGCAAGAAAAATAAGATCTGATGTTTAAGGATCATCATTTACTGGTTTACATTATGTGAATGTGTTGGTCCTAGAATATGTGTCCGTGTGTTTTGGTAGCTCAGTCTTTATTTATAGAAAATAAATATATCTGTGGAACCACTTACTGAAGTCTTTGTTAAGAAATTGGATATTAGAAATAATATTCCAGGAGCTTTAGTGAAGCTCCTGAATCTGACCTTTCAAGAGTAAAATCATTGTTCACTGGAAATACATAAGAAAAAGTGGTAAAAAAATTCACTGTCAGGAGGAAATGCTAGGAGATGCAAGGAAGGCAATTATGGGAGATAAGGCTCTCTACATTTATTTTTGTTTTGAAGGGAAAAGAAAAAAAGAATACTTCTCTTAATTTAAATCGAGAGAGAAGGAGAAGGAGAAACAATACCTGTCAGAGAACCCTTTAATACTGGAGTTAACATATAAACAATTTCCAAAATACTTGGTAAGAAAATGTTGGAAGTTAGAGGTAAACTTGGAGCTCTTGCAAATCAATAAGGCAGAAAGAATGTAAAGACACATGACAGAAGTATTTACAGGAGGTATCAAAGCAGGTACACACTCCGTCTGATCTAAAATAAGTCTTTAAAGATTCAGTGGAGCAGAGGTTATTTGGATAGGAAAAACTAATAATCCCCAAATTTACCTTTCCAAAAATTTGATTTTCTACTGTTCATACTAAACAAGGTTTTTAAAGTCCTGGAAAGATTTTTGTGTCATTGGAATAGTCAGAGAATGATCACATAACTATAATACAGACCTTATGAGAGCGCTCGTAGCCAAAGATCCTTAGCTAGAAAAAAATCCAATGTTGTTGTGTGGAACTTTGTTCAGCATTTTAAACTGTTTTAAAAATTAACATTCTTATCTGCTGCAGTTTCTCTTTGTTCTGTGAACATTGCTTTATTTTTAATACAATTTAATTAAGGAAACTATTTTTCAAGTGTTAAGCATATCATTGGCTGCTAGTTAAGATTCAGAGTTCTGTTTGGTGGAATAATTTTTTAAAATCTTAGTTTAGCTGCCAAATGTAGATCTCTGACAGTTTTTACATCTTTCTGAGACTTCTGACTGGAACAGCAACATGATTTTTATCAATTACTCCTTTTTCCAGATTGATGATACAGATGCAATGGAAGATGTACATTCTTTACTGACAGATGTTCCACCACCTTCTGGTATAGTTAAAAATATCTTTTCCTAATTTATACTGTAGGCTGCAACATGACAAAACAGAACTGGTTTTACATAAAAAAGTTCAAGAGTAATAGTGAAAGTATTCTTGAAGTGTGTAGCTTGTCAGGTACACCTGTGAAAAACAAGTCACTAAGCCTTTTATGCTGATTGTTACTTATTGAAAGCTGAAGTGAACACAGTATTTGTGTGGCATTGTGTAGTTCACTGATTTGTACTGTTGCAAATTTGTTGTTACTTCATATGGGTATAACAATTGGATCTTTTCTACTAGTATACCAATTGCTGAAGATTTTTAGACATACTTGTAGGTTGCAGGGTCAATGACAAGGTAAGTACAGGGAACAGAATGGTCTTTAAGTATTTGTAGCCATATATTGTGACACATTGGTGTCGTATTCCAAGAATGTTATTTAAAGTGAGCAATTTGTCCCTCTAGCACTTTTGTTCAACAAATGCATTTGTATTTTCCTTGCTTTGTGATTGTGACATACTGTCAATTTAATTCTTTGTGTTCACTGTGCTTGTAGTCCTTACTGTTAAGAAAAGCAAAGTCCAAAATGATTTGGAAATCTTAAATCACCCATGACATTTTCATCCGAGTCAGTATTGGTGATTTTTTGTAGAAGGCAGTAAAGTCAAATAATAAAAATAGAGTAGTTTCTAATTTCTTAAGCTTTTTTTAAATAGATGTATTTTTATAAAGTGTTGCAACTGTAGAACATAGAACTCCTTAAAGTGAGTGATTTTCAAAATTCAGTCATGAGACTTGAAATCAATGTCTTTTGTATTCGTACTGTGAAGTAAAATGTTTGGTTTGCATTGCTGTCAATAGAACTTTGTGAGGTGTCCATTTAGTTGTCTGCATTTAAAAACTATTTAAGGGAGGAGGTGTAATGAGTCACTGGATGTCTCCTTGCTGATAGGGATCAGGTGAGAATGCATATTGCATTAATGTAAGACTGAGGGGGGAAAAAAAACCCCACAGACCAGAATACTAACAGTTCATAGTTCAACAGCGTCCTGAAAGAAAGTCACTGTCTTTGTAAACAATAGCCTGACAAACTTTTCTGTGAATTTGGCTATTTGCATTTTGAGCCCATGTGTGCTTCCAGTGTTTGTAGAATTTTGCATCAGGATCTGTACCCATAATAAGAGCCAGATTCTTATGCTTGGTTTCTATCAGCCACATTTTCCATTTTGTTATGTTGGTAAGAGCAGTGAATCATTGCTTTGTATCAGTCTTTTATGCTACTTGCGGCTGTATAGATATCCTCCTCAGTGGAATTCCTGGATCTGGATAAGAGGCTAATGTAGTTGCCTATTACATGGAAGTTGCTTTGTACATTTGGTTGTCCTTGTCCTCCCTCTTTTATCTTTGTGAGTTTCCCCATATTTCTTATGAGCATGTATCTGTTCCCTTCCTAATAATTGGTATCGGTGTTTATCATTTTGAGTACTGTTCAGAACTACCCTTGTCATTGTTATCTATTATTACCACCAAATCTTTTATTCCTCGTTGATTATCCATTGTTAGGTCCTGCTGCAGTTGATTTTACTACCCTAAAATAAGGTCATCAGCAGTGATCTCATTTTATCCTCTTTTGCAGATAAGTTATGAATATGTTTGAAGCATACAATCCTGAGTTACAGATGTCTCCACTGTGAAAACTGAGCATTTACTTTGTCCCTCTCTTTCCAGTCTTACAATAATTGCATTTCCTTCAATGGTACTTTGTTCTACCCTCCAGAGTATTAGTTTCTTAACGAGCCCTTGGTGAAGGATCTTATCAAATGCTTTTTGATGTCCAAAGTAAACTGTATCAGTCAGATGCCTTTTGTCTACATGCTTGTTGACCGCTTGCAGGCCATTACTGTTACTTAGAGAAGTAGTATCTGCTTCTCTACAGTGTCTTGTTTCTCCATCTGCCCATGATTTCCACTTTCTGAAATAGCTTCTGTGGGCCAGTAATACAGATAACTCTACTAGGCAAATTAGTAGGTCCCAGTCACTAAAAGCACCTCACTACCTGAAGATTAAAAAAGCCTCTCCTCTTATAATGGGGTAATTCTAAGTTAAGAGTTCAGTGCAGATTAGTCATCTATTTCATCTTTTGCCTTTCCTGTTGTTTATGAGATTCCGTACTTTTAATTTGCCTATTTGTTCAATATCTCCTTCAGACACTTGTTTAAGACAGGCGCTCTGATGGAAAATAAACAAAGGACTGGTTTTCACTACTGTGGAAAGCTCCACTACCCTGATGAACACTGATGTAAAAAAAACCTGCATGCTTTTTGCTATCATGTTGTTACCGCTGCATATTCTTTCTATATCTTGCTGGACTCTTTAACCAGATTTCTGCCTTTGATGTTCTGAAAGAAAATCTATTAATATGTATACCTGTATACCTTTTGCAAGCTGCTAAACACTTTGTTTCGTAGTTTATTGTGTGCATTTACATAGGCCCTACCAGATTTTTCTTTTGTGCTCACTTAGCTATATCTTTGGATTTTCAACATTGCGTATTTGCTGTTTATAACTTTTTTTAGCCTGCTGTTTAGTCATTATACTTTTTTCTTTTTTTCTTTTTTTTTTTTTTAAGTCTCTGTTAGTAAGTGCTAACATATTTGTGCTCAGTCTCTAGGTAGTATCTTTAAAGCATCTCTCTGCTGTCTGTCAAAGGTTAGCTTTTTAGCTTTTCCTGTCACGCCTTTTTAATAAGTATCCTCATTTGTATGCAATTTGTCTATTAGAAACTAGGCAGAGCAGTAGTGGATTTTGGGTGTTTGCCCTTTCTGCAAGATTGCTTAAGTATACAGTGATCAGAGCTAAAAAACTTCTTTGAATACTTCTCTCACTAATTAGTCCTGGCATCAGATGACGAGTTAGCCCGTGTCCATGGGGAGCAACAGTCACTGTTGCATTTCATGCCACTGTAGCCTCTGTGATGTTCCTCAACATGATGATATTTCTGGCCTTGCTTTTTGACAGTTGAAGAAATATTCAGAATCAGAATTCTGTAGTGAATTAGTTTTTTAGAAGTGGTGAGTTCTATCTTTCCTATCCATTTTTTCACTGCATTATGAATAACAGAAAGCATGTGTTTCTTTTGTATGTTATATTGTATTCTTCGGATGCTACGTTTGTTTTCTGAAAGTTCATATTATTTCGGGTATATTATTCAATACTCAAAAACTCATGAGGGAAAATATTTGCAAAAATATCAAGTAAGGTTACATATGTTTGTTTAAAAGTATTTTTATATTTCAGTGTGCAACATAGGTTTCCTCATATATTTTTCTTTACAGGTTTTTACAGTTGCAACACAGAAATTATGCCTGGTATAAATAACTGGACACCAGAAATTCAAGTAAGGTTATTCAAAGTAATTTAAAACTTTTTTTCCAAATTGTGTTGAAATATGCTATTGCAATTTAAATATATATTAGAGCTCACTAATTTTGAAAGATAAATCAAAAGGATACTCTTGTGTTAGAAGTAATAGTAGTATTTTGGTAAGAAAAACAGGGTATGAAAACTTGTGTTTTTTTCAATGCTGTTATGTAACAGAGAACCTAGTAAAAAAAATGTAAAACTTAGAGAATAATTACAGTAATTATGAAGTTTAAGGGTTGGGGATTTTTAAGAGGTTGGCTAGATTTTGAAGCCTCTTGAAAGAAACACGTTGTTGACTGTGTTACTTGGTGTGAGATACTGAATATGATAACATTAATAGGTGAAGGTAAATAAGAACTAGATAAAGCCAATCTAGCGAGTAGAGAAAAATTCCATTTATAATTATGTTTAAACATTTTGGTTATGTTTGTACAACACAGTTCAGTCTCAGAGAGTGTTAAAACAGATCTAAGTGAGCTTTTACACCTATTGGCACAATACAAGACTGTACTTGGAAGAGGCACAGTTTAAACCTGAAAACCATATGGCTGTACCAGCGGCACGCTCTCAGCTTGATGGGATTGCCTGTGTATCTGTATATGACATTCCATTATTGTCTACTTTGTTGTACACAACATAGAATTTTTCAACAGCAGTTAACAGAATATGTGGCAGGTAGAATGACTCCTGTATGAAGCAAGTAAAAAGAAAAGAGTATTTAATATCTTGCTTAATCACTTAATATATTCATATACATTAGTTCACAGAAAGCTTGACTTTTGTTTGTAAAATTCCGTGAGCAATAAGCACTTCACTTGATGCTGTTGCTACAGTTTTTTGCTTCTCTCCCCCTCTCCCCCCCCGTACCATGTTATGCATTATTTGCCTTCATTATTAATGTGTTTTGGTTCTAATAAAACATACGGACATATATTAGAAAAAAAAATGTGTGTTTTTTTTCTAATCCAGATGTTCACAGCAGTAAGAGTATCCAGATTAAGCAACATTAACCTAACAAATCAAACACTTAATAAGAACTTTAATGATCTCTGTGAGAATCTGTTGAAGGTAAGAATTTTATTTCAAGCTTTTTTTTAAATTGTTCAAATGGAAGCAAAGTAAAATCAGACTATACTGAAAATAACATTTTGTTCATAATTACTTTTTGGAATTAGACTACATAGTGTCTGTAATTAGTTTGTAAGCTGCTCTAAAGATAGATTCAGCATTCTTAGTATATTAAGAATTTCCAAAGCTTTTCGAATCTGAATGAGTCCTTTGACTGGTAGTGTACTCTGGAAACAGAAATACAAAGACTGCTCTGCAGTAGATTGCATTATATCCCTGATTTTTCATAACTGTAATAATTCTTTAAGAAAAAAATAATATAATTAGATGATTTCTACTATGAAAAGAGTTTTGATCTTTAATTTCTGTGAAATAAACCACATGTTTTTTAGAGTAACACAAATAATGTCTTGTCTTCAACAGAGCTTGTATTTTAAACTACGATCTATGGTTCCCTGCTGCCTTTGTCATGTAAATTTTACAGTTGCTCTACCAGAGGATGAATTAGTTCAGGTAAGTAAACTGATTCTTTTGACTTTCAGCCTGTAGGCATGCCAGTTTTGGCCTTTAATTAATATTTGCTGCTCAGACTGAAGTAGGCTAGGATTTGATTTACTAGTATGTCTGTTGAATTCTGAAGTAAAACTTAAGGCTGTAATGTTCAGTGAAGATAAAGGATGACCTATTGAGTTCACCCGTTTTGAGAATCGTGGGACTCCATGGCATTTTGTAAGCACAGTGCATCTTAATAGTGTGTATCTTTTTAGTTAGATAGGAAATGAAAAGCCCTGTCTAGATACTCATTACAAGGTGTTACCACATACACTATTAGAATATGGTGCACTAGTTTTCTAAGTATGCTGTTACGATATTTGTCTAATTCTTTTCTTGCCATTTCAAGATGATGCAATATACTTAATTATTTTTAAAGAAAATATTGCCTTTAGAAGTATAGCATCATTCTTCTGTTCAATTAAAAATATCTCTCTTTTACAAATACAATGATAATGGGTTTTATGATTCTTTTTTATGTCAGTTCACCAAGAAAGAAGGAAAGAACTTATGAACAATATCATAAATGTGGGACAAACACTGTCAGGTGTATGTTCTAGCAATGAACCTTAGTATTGCCTTTTATACTCTGTTGTGAAGAGTTTTTAATATGTCTACTTTGATTTTTTTTTTTTTCCCCCTATTATTTTTCTATGGAAAAAGCTGGCTTGTTTGCAAAATGCTCTTTGCAGATTGCACGAGAGATTGTTACCTAATATGCCATATATTTCTGATTTGCAGATTGCAGTCACAGCTGTTGCAATTACATTTGACAAAAACCAAGCATTACAAGCCAACAAAGCCCCTACAGAAAGATCACAGCAAAGAGGTAAATGTTGTGAGGCATGTCAAGATAAGAGATAATATTTTTCTTTCCTCTTTTTTCACCAGTACGTAATGGGTCTGTATTTTAATTTCAGTTACATATATACATTTTTAGACAGGTTCTGTAAAATCATAAAGTCATAACATAGATTTTTTTAGAGTTCATATATATGACCTCCAGCAGGATGACTTACTTATCAAGTGATAGGTATTTGCTTTACTTAATCGATAAACTTAAGGTTACATGAAAAAATGTTTGGTATTTCCTTATTCTTTCTTTGAGTATTTTTCTCTAAAGAATTAGTGTAACAGATGATGACATTTCCAATTTATTTTGAAACATGTGGTGTAAGTCATTAGAGAATACTTGTTCTTGTAAGTAGCAAATTTTGTCCTTACTTCAAGAATGCAGAAAATAAACAATCCATGATACTTCAAAAAACCTCCCTAAAAGCCTTAAGTGGGTCAGTAATATTTTTGGAGATTGATGAAGCATATAGCATTATGGAAGGAATAGAAGACACTACTGCAATCTGCGTATGTCGTCTTGCTAATGAAGCACCATATTGTGCTAGAAATGTATGTACGCAATCTGGATATGGGACTTTAGACAGAACTTTGAAGATACTCCATTCTGAAGAATGGAATTAGGTAGTAGAACAGAGCCATATGTTTCTAAAACATGAGTTATATCTTACTTTTCCAGTAGTAACAGCAAATAGGCTTTTTTTTCTTTTATGTGAAATAAATCAGCTGTTGCTTTTTACTGTAATGTATAGCTAACTCAGATCCAACTGCAGAATCAAATCTAAAATGCATGAATTGAATTCAGTATTTTTTCCTGAAATGTTAAATCAAATCCTGTTCAATGGAACTCAGGTTCTGTTCAGTTTGGCAGCTGGATTTATTGTCAGACACCTAACTGTTCATACAAAACTGCGTCACTATATGCATATGCTGAAAAAATTTGTTCCCCTTAGACCTGTCTAAATTAAATGTGTAGTGCTTGTTATTACTGGCAGATCTTATTTTGGGAGTCAGTTATCAATTGTGTATGTTTTCTTTGAAGCATCTACAGACAATGAAGAACAGCTACAATTTCCACTGGAACTTTGCTCTGATCCTCTTGCTTCTCAACCATTCTCACCAGCTAAAGGTCAGTTAAATGGAAGAATGTTTAACTGTTGGTTTTTACTGATTTTGAGTTCTGCTCTTTCATTGTTGCAGTAGCTTTAAAATATCTGTACTTGAACATACTTTAAATAATCTTTGCTACCTAAGTATAATGGATATGTTCACTCCTGAAGTCAAATGTTTTGAGTCACATAAGATGGGTTGGCTAATCATTCTGTATATATTATTTTGTAGATTTCCTGCAGTTTGTCTACCTCTGCATTTAGAGTTTTGAAAGTGCTGCAAACCACTGGGTGTTAGGTGCCATTTGATTTAAAGAATTTTAAATTACTTAGTAATTAGTCTTGCTTCATACTGTTTTGCTTCTGTAAGTGGCCTATATAAAATAACTCAATGTATTATCAGCCTCAATTAATCTGATAGTTTTTGTGGTGGGAAATACTTTATCTAGCAAATACTGGTTGTTCAGCTGAGCAAAACAGCATGCATTTTTTTTAAGTGAAAGTAGCTTAAACTTGCATAGTAAACAATTCGTACAGTGCACCACATTTTAGCTGTTAAAACAGCTGCTTTATTTTACCTGAGATAGAGCTGCATTTCAAGAATGGTTGCCACAATTCTTCTAGGACTGTATTAAAAATTACATTGTTATTCACTGAAATCAGCTGTCTTTACTTCCTTCTCCATCATTGGATTATCTATCTACCAAAATGGCTAGAGATAGGAAATTTAGTATCTGTGAATTATTGTAAATATTCTTTTACTAAAATGTTAGAGCTTTCTTTTTTGCCCATCATGTAAGTTGCACAGATTTACATGTATTTTCAGAGGTCATCTTAATTTCAGCAATAATATTCTTACTGCTTTGTATTATTATTTATTTTATTTTTATGCATTTGTGTGTGCTTAACTTTTAATTGGTCATATTATGACACCATTACCCTCTTTCATTTTCAAAAAGAGGAGCTGTCCAGAAATTTCTGACTGGTGTCTTTTTCACTGTTACTAGACTGTGCTACTTGTATAATGGGCACTGACCAGCAGAGGGTAGCCTGTTCACGTATATCACTTTCCCTGATGTTCTTCACAATCTGTATTGTACTGTACATCACTTTAGAGGCTTTCAATTAGATAATTGTTTTATCTGTCATTTCTTCACAAGTAGACTCGAGGTTTCATTGTAGTTTCATTTACTTAGCAGCTTATTAACTATATTGATACCTTTTTTTACATACTTTCCTGTAAGATTGTTATTTTAAAAATATTTTTATACAACCTTATACAGTAATGACCTTCAGTAAATGATCATATTACATTTTGCAAGAGAGATTTAATAAAGTTAATTATACTAACTGATTATGTGCTACCAAAGTACAGAGTATGCTATATACAGAATATTTTTTTCCTCATACTTTACTGTAAATTTTTTTTATAAGAAGAAAGCTGTTGTCCTGTACTACATGACTCTGCTCATATATTATCTGAATGGAATTAATTTTGTCTTATTAGAAGTCCTGGAAGGTGCAAGCTCCCACACAGGTATTCCTGCTGCTCAGAGAGGTGAGTTTACTTAATTTAGCCATATGCCAGAACAGAATGAGCATTCTTGGGATATTGGTATACTCTTTTTGGATGTGTCTTAATCCAGGAAGTGTTTACTAGTTAACTGAGAATGCGTGCTCTGGTGTGGCTTAATGATATAATAATATTTTTACAAAGGTCAGATTTGTTAATAATAACGGTGTCTCTCTGTCAGATATATTGATATCACGTTATCTGACAGAAAATTAGTTCCCTGAGAGAGAGCTTTTTTGCTTGTCTTAATTTGAAGTTAGCATGTGTTCCTTCCGTTTCTTCATTACCCTGAAGAAACGGTGTTTGCAAAACTTTTTTTTTTTTTAAAAAGATACGCAAACACCCCTGCAACTAATACCAAAAGTCATAGCAGAAACAACTCTATTTCTGATTGTAATGATTGGGGGGTGGGGAGGGGAGGAGTGGGAAGGGGGTGGTATTGGAGGGGGGATGTTAGGGGAAGGAGGACAGTGTTTTGTAAGGAAGATCTGTTTGTGTTTAAAACTGAGGTGTTGTTTCAGCTTGTGACTCTTATCCTCATCACCAAAACTTTTTTTCAGTCTGTAGGTTAGATATTAATAAAGGCAGTTAGGAAGTCTAAACCATGATCAGCAGCTCTTTGTGAGGAAAAGAACAGCAATGAAAATTAAAATTAAACAAGGCTTAAATAAACTTAAAGAAGCCAGAACTTAATACTTAAAATGAGATTAAAAAAAAAATAATTTAGCATAAGTCATTAATGACTGTATTTGCATGTTTTTTCAGTGATGAAGTCCCAGTCAGGCAGTTGGTTCACAGCTGGGACATCACCAGAAATCGGTACACTGGTTTGGACAAGTCCAAACCTATTCTGTAACTTTTCCTTTAAACAGACCTGGAAAGGGATGTTTGTTCTCTCTCAGACACAGATAATTGCTTCCTCAAAAGGAGCATTGAGATGAGCAAGAGACATCATCCATATTTTTTTTCTTTGTTTTTTCTTTTGTTTTTCTGTCTGTGTTTTCAGCAACGTCAATTGATTACAGTTCCTTTGCAGACAGATGCAACAGCTGGATAGAGCTCATTAAACTGAAAGCTCAGACCATAAGGCGCGGATCAATTAAGACAAGTAGGCGGCTGTTTCTACCACGTTATGATAATCTGAGACATATCTCTGATTTCCCAGTGGTGAATAGTGAAGTTTCCTGCCCAGCAATAGTATTGCAGATCACATGTAGAATGAATACCTGAGTGTGAAAACTGCCGACATTGTTAATGTCTTTGTAAGCTAATACAGGGTTTATGAACCAGTATCATAAAAAGCAAAATATAGTATTTCTGTTCACTTAGTAAAAATTAGTCATCAATAAATGTGTACGCCTACTAATTATATAACATACACTGCATGGATGTAGGTGTATGTATGATCTTGGAAAATTTTTGGTGAGAAACAGGAAGCAATCACCAAGGTGACAGTCAAGGCAATGGTCACTAAATTAGCAAGTGGTGAGTTATTTTTCAGTAGTTCTTTGGCCACAGGTCTGACTATCTTGCTTAAATTAGCAGAGATTAATATCTGTTATAACGGAAAATGCTGCACTGGGGAAACACAACAACTTTCACACTTCTTATCATTTATTCCTCCAGCAGAATATATATTTCAAAATGTTGGCACTTTTTTCTTTTCCTTCACTTTAACTGATTGTATGTGCAGCTACTCGCCTCAATGTTTTCCTTTGCAGGAATGCCACTCTTCCAAATAAATTCCATTTCAGCTTTTTGTCTCCTTTTGCATGCTTTGCATGATAATTTCCTTTCTCACATGATATGGCTGAGCATCACAGGCAGCTGAATGTTGTCACCAAGCTATTTGGAAACCATAATGAAGAGTTTCTGTGTTTTGAGAAACAGTAATCGATCTTACTTGATAGTTACTTTCTCTTCTTTTTTCCCATCTTTTTAGCTGCTTCACTTGATAAAGCAAGTCCATTGGCTGAGGGATACTTACGGCACCGTTCTGTTCCATCATGCACCAATTCTACCGTCTCAGTTGTTAAGATGACACCTCTTTCTTTTCTACCTGGGGCAAAAATAACCAAATATCTTGGGATAATCAACATGTTTTTTATACGAGAAACCACTTCCTTGCGTGAGGTGAGCTGTATATTAGGGATTAGCACTTCTTGTTAATTATAATAATCAAGGGTAAATAACAGAAGAGGTTTGAGCTGAGGTGTGGCACAGCAAGGGGGTAGAGCTCTTGTCACTTGAGGGTAGATGCTGAATGGGGAGTAAGCTTGAATAGCTTGCTATCAAGTCACTGCTCTGTCCCTTGCTTCCTTTGTGTTTTGAGAGATCATTTCTGTAGTGAGTGTTAAGAACTAATGACAGTCATTAGCATACATGAAGTTGCAGGGACCAAAGGTAATGGTCACTCCTTGATAGTAATTTCCAAGAAGTCTAAATCTCTTTTCATTCTCAGTAGAAATTATTTTTTTATCTCCTTCCCAGTTATCAAAAAAAAAATGGGCAGTATCCTTCCTGATGAAAGAAAAAAGTCATTATTCAGTTGTCATTGGAATATTAAATGTTCCTTCAGAGGTGTAGGAATGTCTGATAAGTATGAGTATAAGTAATACACTGACTGCAAAGAATACCAGTCACAAATTAATAACCTACTTTTAATTCTTTTCCTCAAACAGTAAGTTCCGTTGGTCTGATTTTTAACTGTGACCCGTTAAACAGTGAATAGATTTTAAGTTCTGTACAATATACCATTTAGGATTCACTGAAATATTCAGCTGATAAAAATGTAAAAGTATTCAGCATCTTGTAGCTATACCTAATGTACAGTGCTGTTTGTTTGTTTGTTTTTCTTTCTCCCTTTCAGGAGGGTGGTGTCAGTGGTTTTCTTCATGCTTTTATTGCTGAAGTGTTTGCAATGGTGAGAGCTCATGTTGCGGCTTTAGGGGGGAATGCAGTTGTCTCATACATAATGAAGCAGTGTGTTTTCATGGAGAATCCAAACAAAAATCAGGTAAATGATGATATGAAGTAATGATGCTATTGTGATTAATATGACACAAATACACATTTTATATATTTAAAAAACAGCAACCCTGTAGAGCCAGGTCTGTGTAACACTTCTGGATCTCTCATCATAATGTTTGTTTAAAGAAGCCAAGAACGTTCTTGAACACCTGAGTTAACACAAAATTATGAATGTGCTTCATAAATACTCGAATGGATAAAAATACTATGTTTACTAGAATGAAATAAACTGCAGGAAACAGTTGAACAGTAGTGCTGAACTTAGCTTTTCTGATGTTGCAGTGTTCACCCTAACTCCATGTAAAAATAACTGGAGTTGCTGATATAAAATACTCTATTTTGGACATAAAGGGACAAAACTTTATTAGTGAAGATGAAAACAGAATATGGTTGCTTTGGTACATGCAGTATGTTCAAGATAGTCGTGAAAGCAAGTACAGCTAGCCAGATATTTCATTTGTGCTGGTTTTACGAGAATCTGTCTACATGTTTGATAGCACGCAAGTGAGTGGATGTAAAAGAAAATATGGCAGAGATTGCCTCACTAATAAATTGCTATAATTTGTCCTTCTCCTGATCTCTGACTTTTCTACTATCTGTGCAGTTAAAATACGTTTGCTAATTGCATATTGGGATTTTTTTTGTTTTTGTTTTTGTTTTTTTTTTCCCCAGGCTCAGTGTTTAATAAATGTCAGTGGTGATGCAGTCATCTTTGTACGTGAATCTGAGTTAGAAATGTTACCAGTGCAACCTTCTACAGTTGTTTCTCAGTCTACAAGTTCTGGAGGAGATGTCACAACATGAAGACAGAAAAAGTGAAGTAGTCTCTGCCAAATATAAAAATTATTTAAAATGTGGGAATGTTTAGGTTTGCATCTTCAAAATCGGTATCTCCCCATAGCATTAAGAGCCAAAATTCAAGACAATCACTCCACTTTGTCCTTTGTGTAATAGTCAGAGCAGCATATTGATAGATATGCTTTGATTCTTTTGTTATAATTACAGGCTGCTGTGAAACCTAGGCAGTAAGTGAAGCACTGATACGAGAGTATGGATTAAAATCGTAGGCATCACGTGGAACTGAAAGTAAACAAAAATTCTGTTGCATTTTTTAGCTGTTCAACAGGACCATGATAAGTTGTAATTCAGAACCATTTCTGAGTTTGCATATCATAGTAGCTGATTCTCAGCTCAGTTTAAAAAACTGAGAGGTCTGGGTGGGTGAGTGGGAGATAAGGAGATAACTGAGAAGCCTGTATTAACAACCTTTGCCAAAGGAGCAAGAGATTTGTGCATGGGCTAAGAAATGTGGGCTGAACTCTGAACTTACCAGAGATCATAGAGAGTGAAGAGGAAGAAATAGCACCAAAAAGTCACAGTTTGAATTTCTGCACACTAAAAATATTTTTCAACTGTTTGTGAATTGCTGATTTATTTTTTTTAAATTTTTACTATACAGCATATGTTTTGGGTGGGTGTTTCAGGGGTTTTTTGTTGTTTATTTTTGTTTTTAAAAAGGTGCCAGACCATGATGCTGTGTTCCTAGTCATCCTTACGGTTAAAAAAAGAAAAAAAAAAAAAAGAACAAAAAGTTTCAAAGTGTGTTTGGTGCTATTGTAAGATGTTCACTTCAATATTGACAAAACAGATCTCTTTTTTTTTAATACAAGATTCTGTGAAAGAATTGTCCTGAGGCTTTTCTTCAGGTATGATCTCTTGCAAGGATGACGTAAACAGTCCTCCAAAGGTCAGTTATACAGAGGTATACTCCAGCCTCTTTTCCATTTAACAAGTTGGAAATACCTGTCTAATTGAAGATTGACGTATGTTTGTAATGCTGGTTTTCACAAGTTGGTTTTGGTTTGTTTTTTAGTTTTTTGTTTTTTGTTTTTTGTTTTTTTTTCCCCCAGTACACTAGCTGGGAAATTAAGGTACTGCAAAAAAAGGAAATTTGTAATTTCTGGTAAAGGTCTGAAATGTGGTGATATTTTAATGTAAAAAATGCAAACTTTGATTTGAAGATGCATTCTTACTTAATTCTGACAATACCATACATGGAACTTGAACAAACATGTAAACTTGAATGTAAATATTCTGCTTAGTGTTGATATTAAGCAATGGCATGATTATTTGTTAAAAATAGTTATTTCATTGTAAATGAGCATGAAAATCATTCTTGCACAATAAATTTCTTTATAATATTCATTGCCTCTTTATATGTGTAAAAGTTAAATGTGTACGCTGGATACATATTAAGGATGTTCCACCCCCATTCTCCTCAGAGGAACATTTTTTGTATAGAACGTTACGACCTGATTATTTAAAATCTGGAGAGTTAATTATATTTAAAGTGTTTGAATTAGGCACTTACCAGAACACTTTACTCATACAGTTAATTGTCATTTTAAATTCTCTAGCTGTTGCAACCAAATCTGCCATAAATTAAGTCTCCTGTAAATAGTTGCAGGTCTCTTGATTATTTTGCAAGGCAAATCTTGTTCCCGTTGAAGCTGATGGCAGAATATTAACAATTTCAGAAGGTTTTGGATCTGGCACAAGAAGTTGTTTTCAGTGTAAGTATTCAGCATGGAAATACTCTCTGAAGTGTCACATTAAAGTAGCTGATCCTGATTTTTGTTTTGTTGTTTTGTTTGGGGGGTTTTTTGGTAGCTTTTATGGAAGTATTAATGCTATCTGTTCATTTCTAGCTATTTAAAAAGTCACAATTTCTTACAGTGTTTTTCTTTAGACATAAAGGAGGAGCTTTCTCATCTAGAAATTTTAATTCTTCTCTAACTATTATTCCAGAAATTACAAACTTGTTTTTTAATGGCTATGAATTGGGATTTAGCTTTTCTTAATTAGTCTAGCTGGATAAATTTAACCTGTAGAAAGTTGTACACTTTAATTGCTTTGAGTGTTATTTTCTTCTCTGCAGTGTAAAAAAAAAAAAAAAGGGTGTGTGCAAATCCATTGTCATTTGGACCATCAGACCTCATATATTTCTCAGAGGCAAAAAAAGGATCATATAAACATAAGACAAACTTGGAGGAATTACTAGAGTATGTAAGGAAAGAAAAACTAAAACACGAGTTAAATTTTTAAGTCATCAGTGCACAAAACACCTTCAATGAGCTGTGTGCCTACAACTTAAGTTGATTTATGTTCCTTGCTGAGTTCAGAATGGCTGAAAATCATACAAAGGTACCTCATTAGTTAATGGCTTTCATGCCTTTAGTCATGACATAATAACATACAGTTTTGATTGCAGGAGAATCATTGAAGTTTCCACTGAAATGGGAGCGGTTAATGCAAGATACTCCTTTTTACTCAAATGGGACTTCCAAATGCAGGGAGACAAACAGTATCATCTGAGACACTTGTGGCTCAAACAAAAATTGCTTTGTTAGGAATTGACTCTGAGAGTAGCAGTTTGGGGGTGGGAGCTAATGCAACTTGCTTGTGCTGGTTGCAGCTGGAGTAGAGTTAATTTTCTTCATAGCAGCCAGTATGGTGCTGTGTTTTGGATCTGTGATCAAAACAAGGTTCTTTAACGCAGGGATGTTTTAGCCATTGCTGAGCAGCGCTTGCACAGAGCCAAGGCTTTCTGTTCATCACGCTGCCCCCTCCCTGGCCAGTCTGCAGAGGGTGGGCAGGAGGCTGGGGGTGCCCGCAGGGGGGACAGCTGGCCCCCGCTGATCCCAGGGACACCCCACGCCGTACAGCGCCGTGCTCAGCGCCAAACCTGGGGCTGTGGTTGATCAGGGACTGGCATTGGTGGGCCGGTGGTGAGCAATTGCTTTTTGCATCACTTGTTTTTCTTTGTTTTGTCATTTTGCTCTTACTAAACTGTCTCAACCCATGAGTTTTCTCACTTTTGCCCCTCTGATTCTCATCTGCATCCCGCTGGAAGTGGAGGAGCGAGCGAGGAGCTGTGTGGTGTCCGGCTGCCTACCTGAGTTAACCTGCAGTTTTGCTGCTTTCTTGACTTGAGTCCAAATGACAGAGGTTAGAGTGAAAATAGCCCTGCTCTCCTGTCTGCAGCCCTCAGAAGAACCACTACGCTTGGGTTTGAAACCTTCGCATCAATATTGTGAACAAATTGGGTAGTATCACCTTTCGTTAGAGATGAGTGGTAGCATCTGCTGTAAAAGACCACTTTCTTCAGGCACTCCTTTGCTTGCAGCAGGGAAGCTTGGTCTGTGCCAGGCTTTCAGGTGACTGCCCAGGGTTCAGGGCCTGAACTCCCCCTCGGGAGCATAGCAGCAGGCAGGAGGAGCACCTGCAGGTGATGCTGCTGGTTGCTGGTTCTTTCCACGTCTTTCTCTAACCATCACTATTTTAAGAGATGCGTAGTCCTTGATAAGTCAGCCAATGCAAGCTTGAAGGTGGGCAGGAATTAACTTGGAGGGAGATACTGGCTTCATGTTGGAGCCCCAACCAGCTTGGTGCTTTAGGAATGGATCTTTTGGAATAACAACCCTCTTTCTTTATTATTATTTTTTTATTTTTCCAACTAGGAGCTTGTTTTCAGAGCTAGTTGAAAAGTCCTCAGCTTGCATTTTTTTCCCTTGTTAACCTTCTAGTTTGTGAGCTCTGATATGCACCTGTGAGAGGTGCTAAGTGATAGCAAATGTCCTCTAGTGAATGGTGTGAAGTTAACTGTGGCTCTCCTCTCCTCCAGGTGGAATCAAATGTTTTTCCTTGGTGTTTAGTTGAAATCAGAATTTCCTTGGTTATCAAACCTGAGGGTCTAGTTCACTTTTGTCAGACTGAAAGACAGCCCTGCACCTCTCTCACTAGCAACTCACTGAGAGGCGGATACATGAAAATAGAAGCAAGACAGATGCTGGGAATTAGAAACAGTTGCAAAGAGTGAGCTGTGGGTGACTGTGAAGTTCTTGGAGAGCTCTCAGTTCCCTTTCAGTGTTCAGATAAGGGTAGACTGAAGCTTTGATGACTGTTCTGAGTGAGTAACAGAGTTTTTTTGGCAAGCACGTTGTGAACAACTGTGCTGCTGCCGCATCTGCAGATCTTCTGCTGCGCCTTGGGCTGTGTGGCAAGAAAAGTTCTTGCGATGAAGTATTTTTAGGTTTGGTAGATAGGAGAAAGCTCAGTTTTGAGTACTCTACAAAGCAGAAATGAAGCAAAAAAGGATGAGGTGACATGCCATGTCTGTGAAAGAGTGCCAGGCCCTGGGAGCACCAGCAGGCCTCAGTCCCTGCCTGGCCTGGTTCCACCCTGCCCAGGGCCCTGTTTTAGCCCCCGGGGCCGCCAGCCCCTACCCCAGCGATGCCGCAGCCCTGCCCTGCCCGGGCATGGGGCTGCCCCCGGTGCCCCCCAGCTGCCTGCCCTGCCGCCCCGGGGAGCCCCATCGCTGCGGGGGGCCTGGGCAGCGGCGTGATGCAGGGGTAAGAGCTGGGTTTCAAGATGTAGGCTGCCACAGTAGCTTAAATATTGAAACGCTCATTTTTAAACTTGCATAACTTATATGAGTTGTGACAAGTCTTACACGCTGAAGGTTTTCAGTGGCAGGAAAGGACTCTCTTTCTGGGGCTCCTTCCATGCGCAGGCTAGCTTTCTTCTCAGGTTTTTGAGGAGTCAGCTGTGTAAACCCTGCCTGGTACAAGAGCAAGACAGGCTGCTGCTCCTCATCAGAACAAATGATCCCATCAGGTAACACTTTTCATTGGTATACCTCAAGTGTTTCACAAAGTTGGTTGGTGTCATTTCTTCACTTTACGGTTGAAGTAACTGAGATGGAGAGGTGTGAAGCGGAGTGCCGAGGCCATGCTGGGGGCCGGTGGGAGAAGCAGGTCTCACTCCAGGCATCGAAACGCTGTGCTTGTGAGTATGGTATGACAAATGACAATCGGCCAAAGACAGATTTGTGTGGTGCTGGGTCTGTTGTTGTACCTACACAATGAACTTGTTGCCTGAAAAACGGGCCTTAGTCTGCACCAATGTAGCTGGAGTTAATGATCTTAAGTAAGATTTTACTGTGTATATCAGTCAATGGGCAAATTGCTGAATAGATGCTGGAGTCTGAAATTGTTGATTTCATTTTTGGAAACAGGAGTCACATTTCAATTGACTTGCAGATTTTTAGTATAAACATGCACATTCACATTAAATGATGTGCGCTTATTTTTGTTGCAAAAGCACTTCCATTAATGTGGACAGAAATACTTCTTAAATTGTAGGGAGGAGAGGAGCTAGGGTGATTCCAATTTTGGTTTTATTTTCTTAAAATCAGATGTCTGTAACACTTCAATCAAGGAGAATCTTTGCCAGGAAACCTTGTGAGATGTTGCAAACATCACAGTAATTACAACCTTGTGAACAGAATATTTACCCCAGAAAAGCTCTTAAATTTTGAGGGAGTGCAACCAAGCCTGGTAAGCTTTGAAGAGCTGCTGTTATCTCCTGACATGCACTCTGAAGTCCAGAAAAGTAAGTGAAAGCACCTGCTGACAGCAACCTCTTCCTCTTCCTGCCTCCCTTCTCTGCCCGGGCTGTCCTCTCTCCCCAGCCAGCACCATCCCTTCCTGGGATCCTACCCTGGGCTGTGCTTCCCTCTTCCTTCTCTCCCTGCCCCGTCTCTGAAGGGTTTGGTTAACCACGGGTCAGCAAAAGCATGGTAACTCCTTTGCACAGAGGAGAGGAGGCCACCGTGTTTAAGTTTGGAAATCGCAGATTCTGTTCACACTTCTTGCAGGACAGCAGAGCTATATGCATTGCAGAGCCGTAATTCAGTTTTCAAGCTTTTGCTGAAGTTGATGATCTGTTTATACTTTGGCCTCAGTCCAAGGATTGGTGCTGTTTGCATGAGTGGAAATGGCTGAGAGAAGGTGAAATGGAAGAATTGTTTGTTATTAAATGGTCAATCTCCCACCTCTTTCTCAGTGCTCAGATCCTGCCCTTGCGCTGCGTACCACTTGCTTCATTACTGATTTACTCTGTCAACTGAAGCTCTGCATGCAGTGTGATCAGAGTACACTGGTCTGGAGTTATCTCTTGTTTATGCCAGAAACTTGCAAACAGGCTTTTAAATTGTCACTTTAACTTTACATATATCAACTGTTAAACTTATCCAGAGGCCACATGACGAGAATGAACTTAGCAATAATGTGTTCACATTGTTGTTTCTGTTGACAATGTCAGAGCACTATTTGTTGAAGGTGAAATGTTCTCATGTTTCCAATACTGTTGCTGAGTTTGGCTCTACAGCTAGCAGCAGAGCACGTGTATGAGCCAGCTAACAGCTAAGGAAGTTTGGTGTCTTCAGACTATTTCCCCTTTGCCACTGCAGAAGAAGAAGGGCTGAGATATAAAGAAGAGAAAGGCAAGAGATGGGGTAGATAAAAGAAGGTAAATGTAGTCAGGAAAAACAAAGAGTGAGCACAAAATGAAGTTGAGTGTCTATCAAAAAAAAAATGACAGGAAGGAAAATAACTGATTGGAGAGACAGATGAATAATGATTTTTCCAACCAAAACAAACAAGAAATATTGAAAATAAAGTATGATAATGTATTGTTTCAGCAATCACTGCAGTAATCTCTTGCTTTCACGCAAAACTTTTAATCATTAGGGCTTGAGTCACTGCAAAGATCTAGATTGTTGTCTGGAT